CACACGTACACACGCGCGCGCTTACACACACACACACACACACACACACACACACACACACACACACACACACACACACACACACACACACACACACACACACACACACACACACACACGCACGCACACACACGCACACGCACACACACGCACACACACGCACTCACACGCTCACACGCACACGCGCACACACACACACACACACACACACACACACGGGCGTTTGTGACTATGTAGCCCGGTGCCGGAGATGTGGCACTATGCGGGACGCCGGCGCACACCCGGTCTCCTTCCGCCTTTGCTCCCTCACCCGTTCTCGTCGCGGTGTCGAGCAACGAAGTTCTCGGCTAAGAAGCCTTCGGAGAATTCGTGGTTGATGTATTCGGTCATCAAGTTATGTCCGGTGCCGTCGACGTGGGTCAAGAGAGGGCCGACCACACTCCTGCGAAACGAAAGGTAAAACATTGTGAATTTTTATCTTAATGATATATCCCTATTTACTCTCCTCTTAGTTCGATCATATATAAAGGTCACGCTCACGAATATAACTTTAAGGATGTCTCGTGTCCTTACCTCCTCTTGCGCATGAGATCCTGCAGGACATCGGGATTGGTGAGCTGGACATTCGCGTCGAGCATGAATATGTAGTCTTCCTTAGACTTCATCGCTTCCTGCCTGCGAGTTTGAGGGAAACGGGTGTAACTAGTGAAACCGTTTTATTAATTTGTAAAATAAGTTTCAAGATCGATTTGAGCATGATTAATCCGTGTCAGAACCAACCACTGCTAATAATAAACAGTATTGGTATCCACAATGCTTAGACATGTCTGATATATTACAAGACTGATAAGTATACCGATTTCTAAGACAGTCCCCCTACCCACCAAAGGAGCCTGTGAGCTTTCGTGTAGTCGATTCCTATCTCCGGATAAGCCACGCCCACGTCCTGGTACTGCATTTCGTATTCGTCGAGAAAATCTTCGAACTGAGTCCAATAAAATCCAGTTAAAATATGAGAATATAAAGAATTTCACAGATATATATTTTGTATTTAATTATTTTTTTAATGACTTTACTGATTGTCATCAATTACTAATATCGATATCGTAACTGGTGATTCTAGTATGCGCTATCTATCAATCAATCTTTCTATCTCTCTCTCTATATATATCAGTCTGTACAAAAGTGATTTGCTTTTAAGTTAAGTATCATGTATTACGAAAAGTAATACTTCTAGTTGTAAAAAAAAAAAATACGTAAATAATCTTGAAATTTGACTCTTTCAGCCCCGTTTTCTGTTTTTCTTCTTCTTTTAAAGGAGAGGGGGGGTCAAATAGAAAATCTACAATATGCATTTGTCAAGTCATTTTAGACTTTGGGCCCAAACCAATTACAATAGACGTCTTTCCTCTAGTGTATTTCAAACTTCACTTTGCAATTATCTTGGAATAAAAAAAAATAACCACAACTGAACTAGGGATATAAAAGGAAGTCTAATTTTCATGGCTAGCACATTGTGGTGAAATGTGGGTTATCACTCCGTAGACATTAATCCTCTTGTTCTCCTATTAATACAAATAGTACAATTTCAGGCAAAGATGGGTGCACATAGAAATACACGTGTGCGTGGTCTCCATCCGCGGACTAGTTGTGATTTAATATTTGAATGAAATAAAATCTACATTGTAATTATGACTATTTCATCCTTGTACATTACGACTAAAAACATATTCCTTATGACTGGAGAGTTGAAGTCATCATCATCATCATTATTGTTACTGTACTGAAATGGTCAGTTTATGCACATTTATAATTTTCACGGCAATCCGAGGGGGGAGGTTAAGAAGTAATGTATGAGGAGAAGGGGAGAAGGAGAAGGAGAAGGAGAGGGAAAGGGAAAGGGAGAGGGAGAGGGAGAGGGAGAGGGAGAGGGAGAGAGAGAGGGAG